TTTAGTTTTATGTGTTCTTCGGATTTTAAGATTTCTATAATTTGTTTTTATTAGTACTTTTGTTTAAACTAAAATCAGGAACCAAATTAGAATGCTAAACGAAATTCGGTTAATTAAAAACCAAGTAGTAGGTATTCAGTAACAACATTTTCGTCGTAAATAAGTAGCTAATATTACGACTACATACCGACGACGTATTTAGTAGCAAACTGCAGTCGCTATTCCGTCGCTAGACAGTCGCCAAATATTACGACTGAGTTACGACTACATATTTTAGTAGCAAAATACAGTCGCTACTCAGTCGTTATGTAGTCGCTAAATATTACGACTGAGTGCCGACTGGGTAAAGACTGTAATAGAACTGTCGTAGATCAGTCGTAGCTCAGTAGCTATTTTGCGACTTATATTTTTTGCGACTAGACCTTTACCTACATTTCTTATTGGTCGGCAATCAGTCGTAGAACATAGGTTTACGACTGTTTGCCTACTGCTTTTGCAGTAGCTAAAAACTCGTTTTGGTGTAGTGTTAGAATTTGTGGTGTATAGTTTATTTGTGTGTTTTGGTTGTTGTGTTGGCATGTTTGAGAGTTAAGGTTCGAGTTTGGAGCTTTGGTGTTTGTGGAATCGCTCTCTGGTGTGTGCGGATGCGATTTCAGGGTTGCTTCCTAGCAAATCTTGCTTAATTTTATTGTAGCCTTGTTTTTTTTTTGCCTTGGCTACTCTCTTCTAGGTGTCTATCTATCTATATTATTAAAGGAGTAGACAAAAGAGCTCACGTTTGCTCTCAGAAACGGATTACCGTTTTACCCTTAATGAAAATACCCATAACTACTAATTTTTTGTTTTCTTATTTAATTTAAACAAAACAAAATATATAAACAAAATCAGAATTTTATGTATAAACTCGAAAAAATTTAAAACCAAAAACGGATTTGGTTTAACCGAGGTTTTTTGAATTTTAGAATTAGGTTTTTAAGTGAATGGGCTTACGTAAAAAACCCCATCAAAAATACACCTCCATACTTGAAACCTAAAAAAAAATATCATTTACTTTTATAAATACAAGAATTTTTATTCAGTCTCCATAACTCCATAGAGAAAAAAAAACGATTGGCATAGCTTCTATCATCTTTGCAAAATTATATTTGAATACTAATGTTTGTGCTTCATCTTATTCATCATCATCATCTAATTGTTCTTTTCCTATTCGTGTAGTGATTATTAGGAAAGCAAGATCAAAAATTCTTATACGTTTGTCTGTGCTTACTTCACCTTTGTATCATGTATATTTCTCATTTTATATGTTTTGTTTTCAAATTTTGTAAATTTGGAATAACTTCTTTTCTAATTATTACGTCTAGTAATTATTGTAGATGATCTTATAAATTAAAGATGTTACCTTGTGATCAACGAACACAAGATCTAAATCCCAAGATCTAAATTCGTGGGGTGGATGGAACATAATAAATAAATTTTGAACCGATTAAAGCCACATATGAAGAATTTTTGGCCGAGATTTGTTTGATATAATAAAGAAAAGATGTAGAAACCCTAAGATGTGGAAGCCAAGATCCAAGAAAAGCAAAACAAAATTTGAAAATTAGGAAGAGTTTTACAAAACCTTATAATTGTTGTTTTCTTAAAGTAGTATTGAATGGATATACAATATTTAGGAATTCGGTTTTGTCTCGTATATTATATAGTATAAATTAGGAATTAGATTAGCATAAATAATATAAATATCTATATTAGGTTTTAAAATGGAAATTATTTTGGCCGCACATATGTTCATAACTAAACTATGAGAATTTAATGAATGATATATCTATGAGATTTTAAATAAGAGGCATGCGCTATATATGACAATTTTTACAGATTTAAATTTAAAAACTTTACTTTTAGTAATTTAAAATTTATTCAAGTTGATTTCTTTATAGATCTAGATTGTTTAGTAATTAACAGATATTAATTATATTTAATTAATTATATTTAATTTAATTGTGTAATTTTTATTTGATTTTTCTTAAATTAAAATTATTTTGTACTTTTGTATTTTTTTTAAGGAAATCAAATAAGAAAGAAGAATGAGTTATTATTCTTTCCCTTTTTTCTTTATTTATTTATTTTTGCCCGACGAATCGAAAAACACCATATTATCGTGTCTTAAACCCATAAAAAGATCTTATTTTGGATCCAAATAATAAATATTAGACCAAAACATAGAATAAACTATATTATTATTACATAAGAACCATCTTAAATTACCTATCACCATTGTACACTACTCTAATGCTGCTATATAATTGGTATGTTTCTTTTTATCAATTAAAATTGAATATTATTACATAAGAACCATCTTAAATTACCTATCACCATTGTACACTACTCTAATGCTGCTATATAATTGGTATGTTTCTTTTTATCAATTAAAATTGAATTTATGTTTAAAAATATTATTATTTTTATTTTCAAATTCTCTTGTAATATCCCAACCGGTAGAGATGCTCTATAGGGAATCTATAACTCATGTACTTGATTGACCGATTAATTACGTAGACAGATCTCTTCTTTTAAAAATTAGCTCTCAAAATTGTTTCCAACTTTAGCCTTGTATACCTCTTAGTTTGTAGGCCTTCATTTGCCCAGAAAAATCAGAAAAAAATCTTTAGGATAGATTTCATCCTGTCTTGAGAAAATAAAAAGAAGATAAGTAGTTCGATAATTGAATCGTCGCCTCCCTTGGTTGATAAAGCACCGGTCGTGTTGTATAATCAAAAATCGAAAATTTAAAGTATAATCAAAGAATGAGAAAAATATTACGTAGCTGAGAGATAGATGAGAGAGAGAGATGAGAGAGAGAAGGAAGAAGAAGAAAAAGAAGAAGAAGAGAGGGACAAAGACAAAGGTTCATGGAGGAAGGGGTGTTGTGAGCATATTATCTAATACAATGTTTTTGACTGGATAAGTATAATATTATCTGATACAAATATTGTTATCTCGATAAAAATATAACATAATTTTAGTAGCTTTTGATTCATGTCTAATTATATTGTTTTTAGTCTGATCGGTTATTATATCAACTATAACATTTATGGTTATTTCTTTTGTTAATTATATAAATCATATCTTACTGGTATACGTTATAAGTTATTTGATAAATTCATAGTTATCTAGTTAAATTATTTATAGTTAATCATATGTTACCGCTATAAATTATTAGTTATTCGATAAACTCATAATTATCTAGTTAAATTAATTATTATATGACTGATATCAACTAACATATATATTTACGTACTTGTATAAAATATTTATATTACCGGTTTATATAAATACTCAATTTAACGGATAATATGTAACTTACCGAGATAACATATTATTTAACATGTTTTTAAAAAAGTTATCAAATGCTTTTAATCACTGATGAACAGTGTTATCGAATTCATGGAAATATATCAGTTTGAGTTTATAAAACAGTGGTTAGGCTTTAGATTTTATAAATAAACAAAAATGTATTTTTGTTTGTGTTTATAGAATAGTGGTTAGGGTTTAGATTTTGTAATTAAACGAAATTATATTTTGGTTTGGGTTGAAAAATAGTAGTTAGGGTTTAGATTTTGTAATTAAATAAAATTATATTTTAGTTTGGATTGACAAAATAGTGGTTAGAGTTTAGATTTTTTAATTAAACGAAATTATATTTTTATTTGTGTTGATAAAATAGTGGTTAGGGTTTAGAGTTTATAATTAGTTAAAATTATATTTTGGTTTAGGTTGATAAAATAGTGGTTAGGGTTTATTTTGTAATTAAACAAAATTATATTTTCATTTGGAAATCATTAGTACATAGATAATAGAAAAAATAGCCGATAACTGAAAATTTATCGCAAACGTAGGCGCAAGCCTGGAGTAGTCAGATTTTTTTTCAGAAAATCTTCCCCTATTATAGGCACCCTATTTAGCTTCTGTCAGATTATATTTTTAATTAAATTAGGTTGAGGCTACAAAAGTAACTTTGATAAAGCAGAGGAGAGATCTAATAAAAAATTTATCATACCTTCATTTTTTGTTTTCTGATTATCTATGCACACAAATTTAACAACTAAATTAATTAATATATTTTTATTTTAGATTCATCTTTATACGAAAATTAGAAAAACACTGTGGAACTGCAAGTGGCGTATTGGAAGAACTGCAAGTGGTCTCAAATAAATTATGTGTGAGTGTGACAGGTTTCTGTTTCGTTATATTCAAAATTGAGATTGATTGGTAAACTTGTCAGTGATTGTTTAAATAGTAAGATTACATATTTCATTCTTTCAGGTTTCTGTTTTGTTATATTCAAATAAATCTATTATTTTGCCCCACGCAATATGTCGTGTAGTAAAAACCGACAGATAAATCTACTATCTTCATTAAAGCAGATCTTCGATGAGAAAGATATACTAACCGACACATAAATCTACTTTTATGTCTTCATCTTTGTCTTCCTCTTCGGTCTTCGATTTCAGACAAAGCAATAATGTAAAATCACTACAAGAAAACATGTCAATTTCCGATGACGATATTGGTCGGAATTTTGTTGTAAATGACATATTTCGACAAAATCAAATTCGTCAAAATCCTATGGTCGAAAATTAATATTTGCCGGAAATTACTGACGAAAAAATATCGTCGAAAATTTGTCGGAATTTTGTAGAAAAATTTTCTACCAATTTCCGACGAAAATTCTTCCCCTCACGCAATATATTCCGACAATTATCTATATAGGCCTACAAACAGTTATATCTAACAAGCTAAATTATTTAACCAGCCGATCTTAGTAGATAAGGTCTACGTACGTGGCACAATAATATCAAAGCCTCCCCGATCTTTATTAGATAACGTCTACGTGCATGCATGGCACAGTTTATATCCAACGTGAAACACACACACTAGAATTAATATAAATACTACCCACTAATGTAGTATTGGATACAATACAAAAACAAAAATATAAAATGGAACTGATTACTAAGAGCATAGTTCGACCCGTGAGCTACAACAAAGATTCGGATCGGGTTAAGATCCATCTTACACCATGGGATCTCTTCTTTCTTCAATCCGAATACTCACAAAGAGGTCTTCTCTTTACTCAACCCGACCCGGAAACCAACTTCATCTCTCGCTTGACATCATCTCTCTCCGTCGCTTTAAAGATCTTCTACCCATTCGCCGGTCGTCTCGTCAAGATTGAGAATCAAGACGATGGAACGTCGTCGTTTCACGTAGATTGTAATGGTTCGGGTGTAAGATTCGTCCATGCTTCAGCTACATCTGTTTCGGTGAGTGATGTTTTACATCCCGTTGGTGGTATTCTCCCTGAGTTATTGAAAGATTTTTACCCGGCGAACGGAGTTAAAAGCTATGAAGGGATCACTGATTCGTTAATCGCGGTTCAAGTAACAGAGCTGAAAGATGGAGTTTTCATTGCTGTTGGTTATAGTCACATTGTTACTGATGGGACTTCTATTTGGAATTTTCTTAATACTTGGTCGGAGATTTGCTTTAACATGTATGATTTCGATCGTTCTAAAGAGTTTCCTCCTTTGGTTCACCGGGGATGGTTTCTGGACGGGATTGAGTATCCAATCCGGATTCCGAACTCAATGATGGAGACACCAAAAGTGGTTGATGATACTACCTCATCTTTGATACTACAAGAGAAGATTTTCCGATTCACGAGTAAAATCATCGCTGAGCTCAAGGCGAAAGCCAACAGCGAGGTTAGTGCCAATGACCGGAAAATCTCGTCGCTTCAAGCAGTTTCGGCGTATATATGGCTATCGGTAATTAGAAACAGTGGACTTAGTCCAGAAGAAGTGGTTTGTTGCGAGTTATTGGTTGATCTGAGACGAAGGCTAGACCCTCCCCTTGAGAAAGAGTGTTGCGGGAATATGGTTGGGATCACCACAACGGCGACCACTGTCAAGGAGATAGTTAGCAATGGCCTTGGTTGGGCAGCTCTACAAATCAACAAAAGTGTTGGGGCACAAACGAACGAAGTGTTTAGAGAGTTTGCGGAGAAATATGTAAAGAAACCGAGTATGTTAGATATCAATGCTTTGAGAAATACTATTGTAGTTACTAGCTCTCCTCGGTTCAATGTGTATGGAAATGATTTCGGTTGGGGTAAACCAATCACGGTTCGAGGTGGACCGGGGAATACTCATGATGGTGCACTCCTTGCTAATCCGGGAATAGAACAAGGAGACATCGACATGCAGATGTGTTTATCGTCTAGTGTTTTGGAAAAGTTATCGACTGATGCAGAGTTTTTGAAGCATGTATGTGTTGTATAAGTAAAATTATCCAAATCAAATGTATCTTTTTTATTTTGTCGACTCAAATGTACCTCGTATCTTAACTATAAGAAGAAAATAAAAATTTCTTACATGGTACTGTTCTAAGCTTCTAGTTAATGGTGAATGGTCCTCCTTCATCATACATTCATACTCATCATCATCACCAGAATCACCAACTTTAGGTTGATGATCCATATTACAAGCTGCTTTTTGAGTTTTCTTTTTCATCATGTAGTCCCTAAATAGTTTCTCAACCCAATTTGAAACCTGCTTACACTTCGGCATTTTTCGTTATAAACATTGAAACGGAATTTACACTTCCATCAAACATTATGAGAGTACGATGTGTTGTTGGGTTTGACAAACTTCGGATCACAACAAATGGGCTTTAATGGGCCAAACGAGAATTGACATTGAAAGAAGTGAAGTTTCTAGAGCCCATAGAGACACACATATATATATATATATATATATTGATGTGACGTTGGGATATGCGTATGGGGAGGTGAGAAGAGACATCAAAGAGAGTTCTAGAGAAAGAGAACAAAAAAGAGTGTTCTTCAAGCTTTCTCCTTCTTTGTTATGTCTTTAATCTTGTATCATTTTGTGTGCCCAAAAATCTGTAAAACCAAAATAGCATCCTTTCAAATAGTGGAAGTTGTGGGAGACGGTTCCCACCTGAGCGTACCGGTTTGAGGCCATGTTCAAGTTTTAGATCTATGAATCTTTAATCAACTGTGAGGCGACTAGGGAGCATAAGTTTCCTCACATGATGAAACTGCAAGAAGAAGAGTAGAGAACAAAGAAATTTAATGTAAATGATTTAGAATTAGAAACAAACATGAAACATGTAATTATCAAACATGTAAACATCTAATTATCAAACATGTAAACATGTAATTATGTTTCAAGGGAAAAATATACTCCCTCCGTTTCTAAAAGGTTGATGTTTTAGATTTTTCACACATATTAAGATAAAATTAAATATTTGTTTATGAATTAATTTATAATTACTTTTTGGTAGAAAGAGAAAACATAAACCATTACGTAATTACAAAAGCATAAAGTAAAAGTATAGTTTTAATTTTTTAATCTACAAAATCAATCTTTTAGAAACAATTTTTTTTTCCAAAACATCAAACAATGTGAAATGGAGGGAGTATTTTTTACCGTTTCTCCTAATTGAAACTTGGGCCTCACTAAATGGGTGTCATCTTTCTTGACTGACAATAGCCAATACCAAGGCACAAGGATGGTGAAATGATTACAATTTTTAACACGATCTCAATCATTAGTAATTTCAAATTTTCGGATTTTACAGGATTAGAAAAATCAACAATTATAAATGGAAGAAGAATGGAGATTTTCAGAAAGAAGAAAAAAACTTAATAACTGTGTGGACTATTAAAGTCAAATTCGACTCTAAACCAACGGTTAACCAATAATAATTGAAATTAGCCAGATCAAATTGATTCCAACTTGAACCACCTTGACCAACTCCCGATTTATCACCGTCGAGATGACCAATAGGCAGGATAGGCCCGGAGCTAAAGCCCATGAAGCAGATGCTTTAGGCATCAAAAATATATAAACGAGTTAGAGACATCAATAAATGAGTATATGTTGTAGTCTAGTGGTCAAGTGCTTTAATTAATGGTCAAAGTTGAGCGGTTTGATCCTTTGAGAACCTACAATTAGTGATTTTTACTAATTTATGCCTCGAGGTGGACTTTAAAATTTTAATTTGCTTTAGGCAACAAATATGTTTGGGCCGGGCCTGCCAATAGGCATAATCTTATTATATAAAGTTTAGATTTAAAGTTAGCCATGAACATGATCATGACACGCATCAATTGTATTAATAAGATGTTGACATATGTCAATTTAAAATTTACTAAAATATTTTCATATAAAAGTATAAAAGGTTTCTAAATTGTGACTCGTGTCAATTGCATCGATATGATGTCATAAAACTGAAAATAAATTTTGCTACCATTTATTTAAAGTTTGAACCTTCTTACCAAGTCCTGAAACATGTCAAAACTGTAATATAAATATAAACCCGCGTACAAATCTAATTATAATATCAAATAAATAAAGCCATGATTAATTATATTAGAATTAGGTTTTGCGTATGTGCGGAGTTATAATATATTTTTTTAAAATCCGTAAAAAAATAAAAATATATGAAATTTAAAAACAAATTAAATTATAAATCTTCAAATCTTAAATATGCTTCTAAGTTATCCACCAAATGTGTATAATTTAAAAAATATTTTTAATTTTTAATTTATCGTATAATTTTTGTATAAACTTTCTTACCCGTGTCAAAATCTTATTTATACATGTGTCGCGATCACATAAGTTAATAAATTTGAAAAACTAAACGTTATATAACACGATATATATTTAAAATTCAAGGATATAACAAAAAAGGGGATTCTCTTCAATATCATGAAAATAGGTATTTTTCCAAAAGTACCATTATAAGTTTTATTTTCCAAAAATACCACAAAACTAAAACTATTTTTTTAACATTCAAAACTAATTTCTAAATCCTAAACACTAGACCCTACCCTATAAACTATACCCTAAATATAAATAGTCAATCCAAATATTTAAAAAAATATATCCTAAATATAAATAGTCAATCCAAACATTAAAAAAAATTTCTACATCTTCAAAAATCAATTTTTGATGTTTATGGTTTTTTTGAAAAAAATAAACAGTTTATAGTATTTTTGGAAAAAAAACAAATTGTGGTTTTTTGGAAAAAAAATTAAAATAATGGCATCCAAGGGAATTTCTCGTAAAAAAATCTATAGGTAGCTTCATTAATCTGTATATCATGAATGTTTTTGGAAAAAAGTTGTAATATCATTTCTTTTTGGTCCAATCAACACTGTAACACGGTAAATCCTATCGTGTTGCCAGCACCAAAAATGTAATATTTCCTTAAAACAATTTAACACTTTATTATACTCAACGCATAAAAATAGAATATCTACAAAAATCTTCCTTATTAACCAAACCAACCAATCTTAATTTCCCATTTTAAAGAATATCATATCATTACATGCATTTTCACAAAAGTCAACTCCTAATATTTTTTGGACAGTAGTAAATATTTTTGTCATATATGAATATATTATTACAACACATCGACTGTAATAGATAGGTTAAAAAAAAAAAAAAAAAACGAATCAACTTCGTATTCTTATCTTTGATCTCTGTGTTCCTATCTGTTCCCGTCAATGTCAAAAGGTTTTGTCTAAAAAAGGAAGTTACGAAAAAAACAAAAACGTTTCAATTCTCTCATTCAACATCTCCCCTTAAACGTCTCTTATCCCTAGCTCTCTCTCTCTCTCTGTCTCTTTCTCTTTCTCTTTCTCCGCCGTACGTGAATGGCAACACAAGGTATGGCTCAGCCGTCGGCGAAGAAAAGAAGCTTCTTCCTCCGTGATCTCTTCAAACTTTGTCGATCAATCTCAAGGGTTTTGCCTCGTGATCATCACAAACCTAAACATCATCATCATAAGGTTAAGCACGTCACAAACGAATCCAAACGTGTTGATGAAGAAACTAAACCAAACGTCTTCAATGTCCAGGTTAGGTTTATACAAAGAAAAAAACAAAACATATGTTTGGTTTTGTAAGATTTTGTTTATAATGTGGTTATGTTTTGTTTTTATCTTCTAGGAGACTAAGGGGAATGGTAATAATAATGAGGTGGAAGGTGTGAGTCTTTGTAAGGTTCGTAGCTATAGATATGACAATACCAACACCAACACCAATTTCGTGGGGATCAAGACACCGTTGTCTCTTTCAAGAAGTTGTAGCCACAATACGGCTACGGACACGTCAACCTCGGCGACATTGCGGAGTTTATCGTATGTAGGGAGGAGCAAGAGCAGCAGCAACAGGATGACTGATTCTGGTGTATTTATGCCTTCACTTATGAGATCTACAACCACAAGGAGCTTTGCGAATCCGATTTTGTATTCGACCTCTTCGGCCAAAGTGGCTAAACCTTCTCCAACAGAGAAGAAGCTAAGCTGTACTCTTGAGGAGCTATGCAACGGATGTACCAAGAAGATCAAGATCAAGAGAGATGTTGTGATCACAAGCTCAGGGTTTGTTCTGTTTCTTGAGCAAGCGAGTTTCGCGTAAAAGAAGACTATATAACTAACTAAAATTTGTATGTTGTGTAGGGAAATGTGTGAGGAGGAAGAGATGGTGGAAATAAAAGTGAAACCAGGATGGAAAGGAGGAACAAAAGTAACATTTGAAGGCAAAGGAAACGAAGCAATGGGGAGTTCTGTACCGGCTGATTTGGTATTTGTGATAGTTGAGAAAGAGCATGAGTTGTTTAAAAGAGAAGGCGACGACCTCGAAATGGCGGTGGAAGTATCTCTTCTCGAAGCCTTAACGGGCTGCGAGCTCTCGGTTGCTTTACTTGATGGTGAGAATTTGAGTTTGAGGATAGAAGATATTATTCACACTGGATATGTTACAGTGATTCAAGGCAAAGGCATGCCAAATCCAAAGGAGAAAGGGAAGAGAGGAGATTTGAGAGTTCGGTTTCGGACTAAGTTCCCACAACAACTTACAGATGAACAAAGGGCAGAGATTCATAGCATTCTTCAAGACTCTTCTTGAATCTGTTGCTGCTATACAGAACTCTCTTTTCCCTTTATAGTGGGAACTTTTACAACATGGTTTAGATAAAAATCCAAAGAGATATTGTTAACTCTTGTGTGTCATCTTTGTTTTGTAAACAACCAAGTTGAAATGAAGAAACCGGTTTTACCATAATCATTTAGAAAAGCTTTTATTTATCAACTTTTAATATTCAATCCACACTAAAACAAATCATATATCTTTATAACAAACCAACCATATTCATAAGGTAGTAAAAACCAAGAAAGTAAGATATAAGGGGAAGTGTCTTCTTCTGTCTTTCAATCTTTACCATTCAAGATAAACCTAGAAGGACTTTGAATATATCGAAAATATTGCTGTCGACAAGCGCTTTTAACAATCGAAGCTTCCCTCTCGAGTATGGTGGATACCTGACCGGTGCATCACCAAATAGGCTTCTGTAGAGAACAGCCTTCTTGTGACTGAAAGCATCAAATGAGAATTTTCCATGGTAAGAACCCATTCCACTTTCGCCTACTCCTCCGAATGGTAATGTGTGTAGCGCAAGCTGCAAAACATCGAATGAGGTTAGTGTTTTAGTATATAATGTATTTAGCTTATATACATTAGATAGTGATAGTGTTTTTACATGAACAGCTATGTCATTGACCACTATGCCTCCAGCAGAAACTGTCATGGCGAATTTTTCTTTAAGTTTCTTGTTATGTGTAAACAAATATGCAGCTAGTGGCTTAGGTCGAGAACGAATCACGTCGAAGCTCTCTTCCAAGTTATTGACCTGTAAAGAACAAAAAAGATCTTTAAATTTGCCATCAACATATGAAGCAGAGCCTAAGTATAATGGAAACTGTTTCTACCGTGATGATTGGAAGGATAGGGCCAAATATTTCTTCACTCATGATCAAAGAATCTAATGGTACGTCAAGCAAGATTGTTGGAGAAATTTTCCTGAAGGAGTTGACTAAAAGATTAGCATAAGGGAACTAAGAGATGATGAGAGTATAAAGAGAGTAACACTCACAGTTTCTCTCTGTCTTTTTCGCCACCGTAGACGATTTTGTCAGAAACGTCCTTCTCCTCTAACAGCTTAGATAAGCGATCAAAGTGGTTCGAGTTTATAATACGCGACATATCTTTCGACTCCATAGGGTTCTTCCCGTAAAACTTCTCCAATTCATGCTTCATGGTATCAATCTTGGGAAGAGAAAAGAGAAGGTCAGATACAAAACAACATCAAGGAGATATTGTTATCTTAAAGGTTCTGAACCTTACCAGTTTTGGAGCATATTCTTTTGTTGTCAAGATGTAGTCAGGCGAAACGCAAGCCTGACCATTGTTGCAACCCCATTTGCCTGCGATTATCCGCCTCACAGTAACCTTTCGTAAACGATAACAACAAACTACATTAGCCTCGGTAGTAGAGTACAAAGAAAACATTTTACAAGACTCCGGATGAAGAAGTATTCAGTACTTTCAAATCGGTGTTTGAGTCGACTACGACAGGAGATTTTCCTCCAAGCTCCAGGACAACCGGTGTGAGATGTTTTGCAGCTGCCGCCATTATGACACGCCCGATTTTCGAACTACCTAACCAAGTAAAAGTTGGAAATGTTTTAGTCTCCTGCACCAAATTGTTTCCCCTTAACATAAGACAAGTTTAATAAGAACCTGTGTAGAATATTTTGTCCCACTTTTGATCCAACAACAGAGTTGTTTCAGTAACATCTCCTTCAACAACCCTCACCGCAGAAGGGTCTAGGTACTGTTCGAATAGCTTCGCGAGCAGAGCAGACGATGCTGGAGCCAGTTCTGATGGCTTTAAAACAACAGCATTTCCAGCAGAAATCGCGCCGATAACAGGATCAATAGACAGCACTTACAAATTAAACAAGAAACTGTCAGAATTCATACAAAATACTATCTAGAGTGAAATTTCAATCAATAAGGATCATACAGAAGGGATAGTTCCAAGCCGAGATAACTAGGACAACTCCGAGAGGCTCAGACACAATCTCGGCCGATGCAGGAAACGTTGTTAGAGAAATCTTTGCCTAAAACCATAGCAGAACAATAACAAGAACGTTATTAACATGTTTTGACAACAAAACTCTGCATAATTATCCACACACACCTTATCCGGCGCCATCCAGTTCTTTAGCTGCTTAAGAGCTAACTTAACCGAGTTCCTCAATAGAGATACCTACATAATTAATCAAACATCATAATCAAATTACTGCTAATGTAATCAAGATTAATCTATTCTTATAAAACCCTTAAGGGACAAAGCTGATAAATGACCATGGACCACTAAGAATTGTCTGAAACCACAGACTAAACAACTCAATAGTAACTTCTGTTGGTAAACATTAAATGAGGAAAGGTCAGCTCTGAAAGCTCTGTGGTGTCTTTTGAATGCAATCATGGTTACAGAGTTAAGGAACAAAGTTATGTAAAACGTGGGAATCCCCACAAAGTTAGGTGACAGTTGCATAAGATATTGAATACTTATTGCTTTCAAAGGACCCATAGTTTTTTCTAACAAAACATAGAGTTACCAAGTAGGTTTAAGTTAGATACAACTCCATTAAGTTATGCAAAAAGCTGCATTGAAGTGGTATTGGGGACAGTGTTGTACATGTGTCAGCACACAACATCATCAACGTATCAATTAAGGTGAAAGTTATTAATGACTCCGACCAAGTTGGAGAAATATGCAAATCCAACTAATGAGGTCTGGCTAATATATGAAAGATAGCCACATGAAATGTTGCAACAAATAAAACAAAACACCAAAGCTAAAACCAAAGTCCACACCACATAAAACACCTAAGACTTGTTCCATGGGGCTACTACAGAGCTAGCTTTAGAGCTTTCAACTAAAAAATCCAAGTTGGGACTAAGGCTACCTCAAATAAAGCAATAAGTCTAGTTTAAAACTTAGTTCCACAACAAATCAAACATGGAGACTAGTTCAAATAGTGTAAGAGATTGCAACTACTAATAAAACAACCTAGTTAGAAACTAAGTCTTACCACCAATAAAACAACCTCGTTACAAAACTACTAAGTCTAGCCACCAATTAAACAACCTAGTTAGAAACTAAGTCTTACCACCAATAAGACAACCTCGTTACAAAACTACTAAGTCTTACCACCAATTAAACAAAACTACTAAGTTAAAACTTAGTTCCACAACAAATCAAACATGGAGACTAGTTCAAATAGTGTAAGAGATTGCAACTAATAATAAAACAACCTAGTTAGAAACTACTAACTCTTACCACCAATAAAACAACCTAGTTAGGAACTACGTCTACCTCGAATAAAACAATGAATCTTCGCTAAAGCGGCTAAAAATTTCCGACAAATTTCCGACGATGAATAAAGAAATAGCTAAACCCACACTCAAAATTTGAAGAGCCTAATTTTCGTATACCACAATGTCACAACACAAGAAGATTAAATCATACAAATACTAAATCTTCAATCTAGAATTCAAAAAACTCAAAAACCAAGATTCCAATCAAAATTGACCACCAATCACAATCAATCCACTAAAGTTTTTTTTTAGCAACCTGGAGAAAGCAAAAACATAAAGCTAAACAAAAGACAGAGTTGTTGTATGAACAAAAAAAAAAGATTTGGACCTCATAAACAGAAGATTCAAGCTCAGGTTTCCCGAGATCGTCGCGAAGAGCCGCGACGATCTCGGGTTCATGGTTATCAAAAACAACCAAAAGTTTCTTAAGCTGAGTAACTCTCCATTCATAACCACGAGTCACACCATCATCAAAGCTACGACGAAGCTCTTTAACCAGATCACTTGCTTCCACCGCTCCAAACACTTTCTTCGTAGCCATTTCCCAACAACAACCAAACACCGACCGCTTCAAAACGTGTGTGTAGCAAAGTCGTGCGCAAATAAAGTTTTCTTAGTCACGGGAAAGAGAGAGAAGAGAAGAGAAGAGAGAAAAGAACAAATATTGAGTTCGGATCCCAAGATAATAAAAAATAAAACTGAGAGATATTGAATTTTTTTTTTTTTTTTTTGGTTGAATCAGTGAATTAATAAATATTCTTTGTCGTAGATATTGACGTTGCTTGCTTGTGTTGATAAAAAGGAAAAAAAAAAAATTAAAGTGATTTGTTTTCTTTTACTTTCTCGAAACTGATAATAAGATAGCATGCGTTATGGATATTTTCATAGCATATATTTATAGACATGTTGAAAGAAAAATAAAAAAGGAAACATATAATAACGACAGAAAATATAAAATATTACTAAAATTAATATATTTATTAGAGACGTCAAGAAAAAGTTATAACAACGACATTTAAATTATTTAATAAAAACAAAATAAGAACAATAAAATACGACAAACAGATGTTATCTTCATTTTTTATTAATATTTTTGTTTTTTTATTAGTCAACAATATTTTTTTTTATTATAAGGTTTTTTAAAGTTTTGTTGAAATTATAAATTAACTTATAAATTCTGTAGTTTTCTAATTGATTTAACTCTTTAAAAACAAATTTAATCTGTATTTCATATTTAAAATGGAAAAAATAATATATCAAAAACTTCTCTCCGGTTTTTAATAGATGATTTCTTAGCATTGTCTTTTTCTTAAATAGATAATTCTTAAAAAATATATGCAACATTTAATAGGCTTTTATTAGTTTTAATAATTTATATTATACACCTTGTTTTTATATCATTTTTTTAAATATGCATTTGTTTTAAAAATATATTTTCTTAATTAGTGTGTAACTAAAAACTATCTATTTAAAATTGTAAGATTAATATCAAATATATATATGGAAAATCTCACCAAAAAGAAAATATATATATGGAAAAAGAAAGAAATATATTAAAAATAATAATAATAGGAAAAGAAAATTAGAATAGAATAAAAATAAGGTAAGGATGATAATGTTGGTGCGTGTAACGTATGAGTGATGTTAAAGAGGCGTGTGTGTGGGAATAACTCGCGGAGCATAAGCGAACTCAAAACTCACGTGTGTTGCACGTGCGAGATGAGCGTGTGTGGTGTAAAACGAATCTGGGTTGGTGGGAGAAGTTAGAATTAGGCGAGAGACGAGATATAATTGGGTAGAGTTGGGCTATCTGTTTTACTGGGTCAAGGTTTCTATTTTAATTCTACTTTTATATATATTGGGTGTGTGACTTGGAAGATATTTAATAGAATAAAATATTTTAAAGGGTGGAATTGTTTTTTGTTTTGTTTTCATATGTATATGAATAGGAGAAAATTGTTTCTAGAAGATTAAAATGTTGAGAGAAAAATGAGAAAAAACAAAGAAATAAGTGATGATTTGATATATTTTTTTAGTTGAATTATAACATTGATACGTTTACTATCTATAATTAGTAAAATCCTATAATTTTAGGTGATTTTTAAAAATATGATATGTTTCTATGCTCTTTATCTCTCTTTTTATATATCCTATCCAAAAAAAATTCTCTCTTTATATATATTTTTATATTCTTTTTACACTCTATTTGAATATAATAATTAAAATATCCATTAATGTAAAAAATATAAATACTTATATACAAATATATATATATATATAGATGTAAAGAAGGATGTGTTTGCAGGTATAATATTATTATACATATATTAACCACTATACATAAGGATGTCTATACATAGACAAACAAATGTACAGTACATAGAGATGTTTATACAAATTTAAACATTGTATACAAGGATGTCTGTACATCTGCCTACTAAAGAACTTTTGTGCTGAGACACTATACATAAGGGCATCCATATCAGTAGGACTCATTTTTGTTCCAAAATTTTTAGTAGGACCATCCTTCTAAATTTTTTTTTTAAAAAAAAACAAAAACATAAAGACAACCGATCGCGGGCCGCACATATCAGTGGGGCCCGCGAATAGTGGTAAACAAGAGAAAGGACCGTTCCGTTTCTGGATACGTCCCGCTTCAAAATTTTTTAATTTTTTTTTCTTTTGGGTGGGGGACTGGGCCTAAATACACCATTGCCCATGGTGTAAGAGTATGTGTAGAGATACACCTATATAGATATAGACTAATTTAGTATATAGAAAAATTTATATACAGAAATAGACAACAATATAGATAGACTACAATAGACATCGAAATTTACATGAACATGTTTGAAATCATCAAACAAAATGCATGTCAAAATATAGAGAAAACACTATAATATTTTTCACTTGGAATTTTTTTAAAAATGTTTTACTTATTAGATGGGAGGGGGACTGTTAGATATAAATAAAAAGAGATAAAATATTGAAATATATATATATATATATATATATATATATATATAATGAGGAGAGAAAGTGGACATTTTCATAAGGGAAATAGCACTCCATGTACCTAGAAGAAATGTTTATTAACTATATGTCATTGTTCTTTTTATAATTAGTTTTGCTTTTTCTTAACAATTTTAACCTTATAATTATGAGTTAGCTGATAATTGAGTTAGCGCGATTAATACAATTATATATTTAAATAATAATATATGATCTTATCAGATAACTATATATTTAACACACAATATATGAAGTGAAAAAATAGCAAAAATAAGAAATAGTGAAAAATGATGGAAAAATTGAAAAAATAAACGGTGATGTGGATGATGATATTTCCAACCGTGCTGATGATTGGAATAAAAAGATGTGACACTGCTAGCGATAGTTTTACTCGTGGTGGTGGTGATGATGATACCGACAGCGACGATATTTATGTGATGGTCATAGTTGAGATGATATCCAGAAAAGTATGACGACTAATGTGTTTTGTAGTTATGACATTAGTTTCTTTTGTATTCAAATACCGGCATAATTGTTCATTGACATATTTGTCAGATATTTTGATGAGGTTAATCGATCAAGAGATGAATGAGTATCATTGACAACAATAGTTAATGTTATATTCTTATATATGTAATTTCTGATGTACTGATAACAATTCAATTAGCAATATATATATTTATGTTAACATATTTTGAATGTAATAATTATATTATTATGATAAATAAATATGTTAATGTTTTAATTAACATGTAAGAACTAAATTTTTAGCTACGATCAATCGAATAACAAATGATTTAACATGATAAGTATATGTTTATCAACTAATCAATTATTTATCGCGATATAATATAATTTACATTGTTATTTACATAAATTTCGGTGTGATGAATAGTGATTTTATCTTGTTAAGTTTTTACCTTGTTAAGTTTTTTGTTAGCGAATATAAATAACAAAGGATATTTTTGACAGATGAGAGAGAACTAAATAAAAATTTATATCATAGGTAGATTCTTTATTTTTTAATTCTTTTGGGTATATAATCTGTATAAAATTGTAACAATGATTTTTGTAATACATATAGTTTGTGTAGCTGAGTTTACAATATGATACTTGGCATGTGTGACCATGCATTTTTTTATAGTTGGTGTAGCCAGCCATCTTTTTCCATATATATACATAACCCTTTCATAATTGTGAAATCTCATTTTCATAATTATGAAATCTCACACTTTTTTTTTTTTTTTTTTTTTTTCCAACAATAGAATTGAATTAGCTCAAAGGAGCCAATTATGAGGACAATTGTTTACATACTTAATAGGATGCGGGGAGCAACGAGCTTGTCGTGCCAGAGAGTCCGCTTTTACATTTAGATTTCGTGGAATAAGAGATAAAGAAAAAGTATAGAATTCTTCCCTATCCATCTCAATGTCGTCTAGGTAAACAGAAAAAGCTGGCCATTCGGAGGGAGAAGACACCATCTTCACCAGGTCTGAACAGTCGGTAAGAAACATCACATCACGAAAGTTATGACCAATCATGCAACGCATTGCCCAGATCAGAGCTTCGACTTCAGCATGCAGGGGAGATAGACTTCGACGCAGATTCGATGCCCCCATCCAGGCCGAAGGACTCTGAGACTGCTGATAGAACCATCCTAGGCCTGCACACATATCCGTCGCCTTCCATGATCCATCCACGTAACAACTATAACTGGATCCCATCGCAGGTAACAAACCCGAGCGCCGCCGAGGTCCGGAAGGGGCCAGTGGGAGCGGCATTGCAGTACCTAAATCCACCATCTGAGCCTCAGACCACAATCTTGCTTCTTCGTGGGCAACCTGAACCGTAGTCATTGGATTTTCATCTTTATTATCAAAAACTTTAATGTTGCGAGCCTTCCAAATATACCATAAGAGCCAAGGCACGAATCTATAGCTCTCGTCCATTAAAGATAACCGCATTATATAATCCATAATAGCATACACCGATTCCGTGGGGAAAGATAAAGTACCCACTGGAATATTCCCCAATGCCCAGGACTGTCGTGGTGGAGGGCATTCAAATAAGATATGGTTAACTGACTCATCTTGATCCGTACATCGAGAACAGCGAACATCACAATTTATGCCACGTTGACGTAAATTAACTGTAACCGAAATACATCCTGTTAATATCTGCCACAGAAAATGCTGTATTTTTGGGGGGCCTCTTATTTTCCAGACTTGTCACACTTTCTCTAGTACACAAACAATTAAAACCATCTTCCTACAAAAAAAAACAATTTCAACTATCTATTTCTCTAATTTCATATAGTATTTGCATTAAGGAACCTAGTATATTTCACAAATGTACCACTTTGCCAATTTTCATTAAAAAACATCAGTTAATTTATTAGCTAACAAGTATAAAATGAGGGTTTAGATTTATTATTATTTTTACTGATCGAGTTGCTTTGCTTTACTGAAAACAGGTTTCGCATACGTTTTAAATAAGAGAATGTTACACACTAGCACCGTTTTTGTGACTTATCTTTCACTTTAACACCTATTTATATTTCCTCCTCTCTTTTTCTCAAAATCAAATTATAGAAATTATTTTTAAAGAATATCTAAATTTTTTTTGCACAATGTATTATAATTATTTTTTCTTTACGTTTTAAGATCTGTTTTAATATAGTTTAAG